GGGAAGATGTCTTGGTAAAGATTTTGAGTCTGTAAGTACATAACATTCCACTTGTTGAACCTCACTCCTCCCAAAATACTCTTCTATCTTCTAGATTTATTGTACTCTTTCCTCCAAGTAGAATGTCTTCTGGTATCCTGTTTCTCCATTTCAATATTCCAAATCAAGTTTTAACTCTTCTGTGATCACTCAGGTGGCTCTTACTGTCTGTTACTTTATGATGTTTTTCTTTTCATATATTAATGTCTTAGCTCTCAAACTAATTCTAAGATTCCTGAAGGTAGAACTTTTTTTGTTGTTGTTAATAATGTAGTCTTTATTAGTAATTTGCTTTTCTTAAAACTTTTATTTCTCTTAAAACATTATATAAAAATGGGATTTTATTCTACTAATGTTTTATTTTAGATAGACTTGTAAAGCCCTTCTAGTCATATTCGTTGTGTTTAGTTGTCACTCCAAACCTTGAAAATTTACTTCAATCAGAGTTTTCATATGTCTAAAGTTTTTCTAATGATGTTGCTCTTTTAGCTTCTAAAAGGTTGTATTTGGAATGTTTTTTTCTTCTTCTGTTTTGTTTTCTTTCCTAAGAAGGAAAAGATCAAAAAGGAACTTTCAACCATTGTTGAGCATTTTGGGAAAAGTGATAACCTACTTCATCCTTTTCTTTTGTAAGGAGAAGCATGTTAGATGTGAATACATTTGGAAATGATCAAAATTCAGCCATGGGAGTGATGGCAGATTCCAGGCAAAAGTCTGGTATTTCTTTTCCTCCTTCCCATCTTATCTTTTCTTTTCATTTCCTTGCTTTTCCACTTCTCCTCCCTCACTATATTTTTTCTTTGTAATGCCTCCCTTCAGGATTGAGCCATTTTCTTTTATCCCCTTTATATATTTACTCACAGCAGTTGAGAAAACATCGAAACCCCTCTCAGAGATATCTATTTTGTTAAGGACTCTAAGACAGATATGAAGAAATTAACCTTCAATAGTGAAATTTTGCCTTGAGTAGGAAAGATATTTATGAGCAGAAAGTCTTCTTAGGGAATGTTTATCAAATTTATTCAGTATTCATGGAACAGACATGATGGGTGTCTACTGTATGCCAGGTGCTGCAGTTAAACATACAGATGGATAACTTACATTGCTCTCATTTTGAGGCAGGAAGGGGGACAGAGACAAAAATAGAAATTTACTAGTTGAAATATAATATTATTGCTTTCATTGGAGGCATGAACCATGTGTTGTACTCATATAGTCAGGCAGAAGAATGATCATGGAAACCTGTTTTCCTGCTCTATGAGACCTCGAGGGGGAGAATTTGCTGTTCTGTTTCATTTAAGAGTTCCGAAATGAAACCGCCTTGGACCCTGTTTAAATATAGCACAGTTAGAGTTTAGTTAGACTTAGCTTTGGTCCTGCCATTTTTGTTTTGGATTCCTTTGGCATGAAGGTGGGCCTTTGTCCTGCTCTCTCTTGTTGCTTGGCTGGCTTCCATGTTAGCATAGGCAAGAAATTTTGAAAACAATAAGTAGTCAATAAATATTGGATAGTTGGTGGTATAATTATTTTGTGCAATTGTCGTTACATCCTGCTTCTTAGATTATTATATGTAATTTAAAATTTTTCAATTTTATTTTTTAAATATGTAAAGCATTACATGGCTCAAAGGTTATGACCTTATAAAAGGGTATAATCAGAAAAGGCTCAGTTTCATCTCTATTTCCACTGCTCAGTTTGCCCCTTACCTCCACAGGTAACTATTTTCATTAGTTTCTGATTAATTTTTGCTTTTTTTTTGAAAAAGCAAGCAAAAGTATGTATGTATACTTAAATTCACTCTTATACAAGGGTCAGTGTATTATATACACTATCTCTTACATAAAAGATAGCATACTACATAGATTACACCTTGTTTTGATGTCTATACTTTTATACAATTGTATCATTTTCATCGGGTGAATGTATCATAGTTTTTTCAACCAGATCCCTATTGGTGGACATATGGATTGTTTTTGATATTTGCTCTTATAAATAATGTTGCAGTGAATAACATGTGCTATTTCATAATTATGGAAGGTTACCTTAAAGGAGACCTCAGAGTCATTTTTATTGGGATTCATGATCTTCCTTAGGAAAATATTTTCTTGCCACCTGTAGAGACATTTATTGGCTGGCATCAGATATTCTTAATATGTACTGTTGAGTGAAAGTTGTTTCGTTGTTGTTGTTTGGGTTTTTTTGGTGGCTGGCCAGCGTGGGGATTTTGTACTCTTGACCCTGGCGTAATCAAACCACAGTCTTTTAAGGGAGCTAACTGGCCAGCCCTAGAAATTGTTTTTTTAAGATAGCATTTAAGCCTTCTACATGTCTTCATTCTGGTACTATTGCCTCATTTACTCTCCTAAGATCTAAGGCCAACTTTGATGCTTTCTCTGATGGAAAATGCCCTCTTATTTTTTGTATGAATATTGTTGAATAAATAAATTTCAGTACCCATCCAGTCAGGCATTATGTTAAGTGCTTTATCTTGTGAGATAGTATTTATCTTAATTAAATTAATTAATTACAGTTATTTATTTATTTATTTTTAGTGGCTGGCCAGTATAGGGATCTGAACCCTTGACCTTGGTGTTATAGCATCATGCTGTAACCAACTGAGCTGACTGATCAGCCCTTTATCTTTGTTTTAGAGATGAGAAAGCTGAGGCTCAGAAAGGTCATGTCACTTGTCTAAGGTCATATGGGTAATAAATGGTAGAGCCAGAATATGAACCCAAATTTCTCTGAGTCAAAGCCTGTATTTAATCCTATATCCTACTCTTAGTCATATCAAATATGCTTTATAATCATAGTTGTTATTTTTTGTTTCCTAAAAATTTTTTTCATTTTTTGAATCACAAAATATCTTTTCCCCTGTTTTCTGATTGTCAAAACAATTAGGATATTCTTTGTAACAGATAGAATTAAGATTTCATTGAGATGGTGTTTGGATTAGTTTGGTGATGTGGTTATGGGTGATATCTTAGCTAGACAGGTGAGTGAGTTCTCAGCAATCTGATAAGACTTCATCTCTGCTTTAAATGCTCTCTGGGGTTTTCCTGTTGTCTTTCTTGGCCCTGGTTAGATTTTTTTTTTCCTCTCTCATAATTGTATGGATGTGGTTATGGGTGATATCTTAGCTAGACAGGTGAGTGAGTTCTCAGCAATCTGATAAGATTTCATCTCTGCTTTAAATGCTCTCTGGGGTTTTCCTGTTGTCTTTCTTGGCCCTGGTTAGATTTTTTTTTTCCTCTCTCATAATTGTATGAGTAATAACTCTGCTCCTTGGCCTTCAGTGAAGATGTTGCAGTTTGTCATGGTGCTACTTATCAGTTGTGAGAATAGGAAGTTTCTGTTTTCCCATGTTCCACAACAGACATTGACAGTACGGATGCTGGGTGATGATGGGCATAGTTAACATTAGAGTCCTTCATGAAAGGGCTGAAAGGATTGAGAAGAATGAAAAACAGTGAGGATGGTAGTCAGGGAACAGGGCCTCAAGGTAGACTGTGGAGAGTCAGTATAGCACAGGGGTTTATGATATGGAGTGACTCGACTGTCTGGGTTTGAGTCCTGGCTCTACCATGTAATAGCTGTAGACCTTGGAAAATTACTCTTTTGGGGTTTCATTATCATATCAGGAAAATAATAATACGTACTTCATGGAATTATAGTTAAGAGAGGTAAGGCTTGACCCATAGAAACTGTCTAATATTAGTTATTATCAAAATGAGGGGTGACAGAGAAAATGGCATGGAGCATCTAGATTCCATGTATATATAAATTTGTCATGATATAAATGTATTTCCTCAACCCTAAGATGTACTTTTTTAATGTTTTAATATTTCTGAAATAAAAATGCTTATTTAAGCCAATGAGTACATTTAATGTGGTAGAAAGTGTTTCTTTCCTCAACAAATGTTATTCATTAAATAGTGTCTTCAAATTGAGAAAATAAGGTTGTATATGTAACTTTAATATATGATTTACATCATATGGGTTGGTATTAGATAGCTTGTTCAATAATACAAATAGCCAGTAACTCACTATTAATTGTAGTAACTGTTAGTTTTTGAATAATCATATGTTTGGCTATAAGGTGGAGAATGTTTTGACTGATAATGTGGAGATTTGCACAGAAGATAGAAGGTATATCTTCTTAATGTCATTCACAAGACTCTAAGTTGATACACATAGCCTCTTTTCTATTTCAGGTTTATCCTATGAATATATAATTCTGAAAAGATTTCAGGATGAAAAGCACTTGAAATCTTCCTTACTGAAGTTTTTTAACCTCATATTTTGCAATTAGTTTTTATGTTTATGTGTAACTGGTATCATTGACACTTAAAACGTGGAATGTGTTATTGCTTTAACTTCTTGGTAAACGTTTATTTTTGATAGGTAATAATGAGAGTTTTCCCCTCAATTTTTATAGGTTATTTGGCAGTTTCTTTATTTCTACATGAAAATCATGAACTGTTGCTTCTCCTTGTGAATACAGTTGTAAAGGTACCGTAGCGTATGTTGGTTAATATGAAGTCTTAAATTATTCAAATGATTCCTGTTAGCATCTGAAATTTCTCCTCAGTCCTATTGAATTAGCAATTTTGGAAGAATGGGCTTAGAAAGATCTTTTAGATCAGTTTCTCCAACTGTAAAATGGGGATAAATAATAGAACTTACAGAGTTGTGAGGATTAAATGAAATACTATGTGAAGTAAAAGCTGCTGCTGCTGCTGGTATTTCATTTTCAAATGCACAGTTAGAAATTATAACAGATCACCAGGCTCTTAGTCAGTGCGATTTCAATACTATTTTCTGTTCTAAAGGGATATAGATATAAATGGAATAATTGAGGTCTTTAAAATTTACAAAGTCATTTTAGAGGGAAGTAATTGGGCATCTGAAATATACTGATCTTAAAAACATTATTATTGTTTTTTTTTTTTTTTTGGTGCTGGCCAGCGTAGGGATTGAACCTTGAACTTTGGTGGTGTCAGCACCATACTCTAACCAACTGAGCTAGCTGGCCAGCCAGCGCCACCGCGCTCCCAAGCGGCGCACTGTAGCAGTGCGCCACCGGGCCGGCCCAATTTTTTCCAAACTTTCAAAAACATATTTTCAGGTTTTATTAGGATGATTTATAAATCATGTGCATATATAAGTATATATGAACGTATTCATTTTATTGTATATATTCTAGAATTACTTCCTTTTGGACTTCCACTCATATTATTGTTAACAAGAAAAATTTACAAAATTATTTTGTTATTCGTTTAAAAAAGTTTTAAAGGCTTTAATAAAGAAGACTCCTTTGCCCCAATCAGAACAGAAATCCAGTTTCCTTTCGTATCAGTTGCTTTTTGGCTTTATCTATCTATTGATTCAGTTAAAACAAATGAAAAATAGGGATATTACTATAAAATATGGTGTAAGTCTGAATGTACAAATTTACTATAAAGTTAGTAAAAAATTGCTAAATATATAGGATCATTACAGTGTTGAGTTAGCCATCGCTAGTTTCAAAATTTACGTTGGATGTTTTCTTTGCTTAATAATTACTCCAGGACTTACAGAGCACAAACCTGGTAGAAGTATGTATGGCACTTACTATTGTCAGCCAGATTTTTCCTCGAGAAATGATTCCAGCTGTTCTTCCATTAATAGAAGATAAACTTCAACATTCTAAGTAAGTAAATTCTTTTGGGATAGTCATCCATTTCAAAACAAAAAATGATACTGAAAATTTATTATAACTTTAACTTAATACTACTAGGATAGAGAATATTCTTTAACTGCCAGATATAGTGAAACAAACCCCAATAGGATCATCTTTATTTTTAAGTGAGTGTAGAAAAATGTTAGGTGGCTTTCTAACATTAGACTGAGAGACAGTGAGGTTTAGTGTCAGGAATCCTTGGCCTTCCTGCTAATTCTACCACTAATGAGCAGTGCTCCTGTTTTTCCCTTGACTGCATGGGGTTGGTTGAAGCTCCTTAGTTTTCACAAAGTTGTTTTGAGGATAAAATGAAATAATGGAAAACATATGGAAATGGTTCAAGTGCTGTGAATGCAAAGCTTTAGTGTATTGGGAAGATGCTTTTCCCATATACCACAGTGAAATTCTATTTTACAGCAGAACATATCCACATAAACAGAATGTATCCAAATAAACTTGTAGTATTTTACTAATCTTCTCTTGTAAGATTCCTTAATTCTCTCCTTACTGGTTTGACTTACTTTTTTATCATATGTGGAATTATTTTGTTTTTGACCATGTCCCTTAACCTTATAATCTTTGAAGTTAGGGAAAACTTTGCAATCATTTTCCTTTTTCCTTTGTGATCCTTTTATACATACATTCTTGATAAAGATTTTTTTCTTACTCATACAGCATTTCTTTATTTCATATGCTTCTTTAAGTCAGTACTTTTAATGTTCTAAGATTGTAAAATGTCTTTTAGCTTGTATTCTTTAAGAAATCTTAGACCATGAATCTTCCAGCTAAAATGATTTTTACTAAGAACTATAGAACAACGTCGCATGTTTTTCAGACCTTTTAAAATGTTTTGTGTGTCAAGTCTGTGATTAGAACAAAGGATGGCTATAGATAATGAATTATTAGAAATAAAATAGTAGCTTTTCTTAGGTATTTATAGGTTGATGTGATTATAGCAGTAGAATATTTTTACATATTTTTTTCTTACCAGCATTCTTTTGTGGGGACCATACTTACTGACCCTTTGTATGAAATCCTTCTGAGAATTGAAAGGCCCCTTTTCAAGTTTTTCCTTCTTGCTTCCCATTTAGTCTAATTTCAAATCCTGTCTAGAGTTTAGGCTTTTTGAAACACTGCTTTTATGCTTATGGTCATACCCAAATCCATGCTATGGAGCTAAAGAATATGGGACAGAATTACAGGTAAGCCAGTAGATGTCACAAAGAAGATGTGAGACAAGGCTTGAACTCAACTTTTGAACCCTTGACTATATTTCAGCATACCAACTCCAGAACCTGAATCCAGGTCTCTTGATGTCTTATGTTAGTACTACCACTTAGGGCCAGGCCTAGGAGTTCCTGAGCCTGTTAAGAGTTTATATTCTTTTTCTTCCTCTTATTTTCTTACCCTCTGAATTAATATTGGTTAACACCTGATGGCAATACGTTGGGATGTAGTTTGTAGTCACCATAGTACTAATACTAATGGCAAATCTGTTGGTAATCTGCTTTTCTTTTTATGTGGAAGGAATTTTCCATCATGGTATAGTTTGCCTATGAAGATAGAGTTGTTTATTAATGGAATTTAGCAGAAGCAGGATGTTCATTTGTTAGGAGGTCGTCCTAACAAAAGGTATTCTTGAGTGGAATACTGAGGTTTGCATTGAATAATCTCAGTTTTGAGATTCTATGATTTTAGATACCGGAAATATGTCTTAAGGAACCCTAAAAGTAAATACTTCACTTTTGTGATGTTTGCTGTTGTAAGTACTGCCAGCATAGTCTACAAATATGAGATACGTAGAAATAGGTATGAGAGAGAACAACGAGGAATACACTTCTTTGGAAACTACATCATGAACAGAGGATAGCATCTCTATTTTCGCTTCTGTGTGCTAGATATTATCTGCTACAAATGAAGTGCAAAAGTAGTATATACTTTTCCTTTTTATTATCATGAGGTTTTTGAAACAGATGAACTGGGCAAGGAGAGGAGTAACCTCTTTTTACTCCATGTGTGTTCTCCTGTACTCCCCCACCCCCAAAGTATTTGGAATATGCTTGCCCATGATATAAAAAAAGAAATATTAAAAGCTGTTACTTCAAGAGTAAGAATGTTAAAGAGATTTTAATATTAACAAAGAGGCTGTTTAATATTACTAGTTGAAATTATATATTACCAATTTAAACTTACCGTTGACTCTTCCCATTAGACATAATCCATATTTCTAGAGATACGGCTTTTAAAAATGGAATTAGAAATTTGTTTATCTTGTTCCTTTCTGATTTCAAAAATAATAAATGCTTGTTACAAGAAAAATCCATAACTAGATAAATATTTAGCACAGCAGTTAAACTCTCTTGAGATCTTACCTTCCAGAGATAATCACTTTTTAGTTTGGTGTGTTAGAATAAAGAAAATAATAACTGTATCATTCTCCCTCTCTTTTTAGATTAAGATAATAGCTGATATTTTGAAATCATGTGGCCCATAATCTCTTCAAACTGAATGCCTGACAGTTCAGATCATCCTGTTTAGATTTCATTTTTTATTTTTAGGGAGATTATACGAAGAAAAGCTGTTCTGGCATTGTACAAATTCCATCTCATTGCTCCAAATCAAGTACAACATATCCACATTAAGTTTCGGAAAGCACTTTGTGACAGAGATGTTGGGGTCATGGCTGCTTCCTTGCACATATACGTTAGGATGATTAAGGTAAGTTCATGTTACTAAAGAAATATGAAAAAATGGTAGCTACGGAAGGTGGTTTAAATTTTCAGATTTGTGGTTTTTCAAGCAATGATTCTCTTTTCTACATCTTCATTGGATGCATAACAGATTGAGAGAAATGAGGAGTGCTGGTGGTGGTAGTGCAAAGTATAGACTTAATTGTTGACTTCTATGCATTGATACTGTGTCAGATGAGGAAAGAGGGTCAAATGGTATGCTAAAAAAATTTCTCTAAATGGTGATGCTGGGTATTGCCTAAAACCCATTGTGTCCAAAAGTATATATTTGTGAGAGATTTCGTGAGCATCTGCTGTAACAAAATGGAATATGCTATGGAATTCATTTAAAATTATGAAACCAAAGCTTGTCTTCTCTTTTATGCATTGTGTTCCAAAGTAGTATGATACACATAGATACTCAATATTAAATCTTACTTTCCTCTAATATTTACTAAAATTTGAAAGAGCTATTATTTTCTTCCCCCAAATTTGCCCTTGATACATAATAACAATTACAATGAAGAATCTAATGTTCATTTTAAGGAGTATGTATTTAATTTCCCCCGTCCAAGAGATTAGTGAGATAGATAATCAAGGCACACTCATTCAGAAACAAATATTTTTTAAAACTGTGTGGTTAATTAATTTTCAATCGACTGGCTCACTAATTTTGGGCATTTTGAATGTTTAAGTAGTCTTGGCTGTGCTCTTCCACCCAGCATGAATTTCACTCATTTACATGAGAAGTCTTTTGCAAACAGAGTTCAGAGATTGCAAACTGGCCTTGATTTTCATCCAAGGTAGAGGTATTACTGCCCTTTTTCAGTATGCCAATTCTTTTTACTTTTTACTTTAATTGCTGGTATTGGCTGTTAAGGATTCTATCTAAGATGTAATTATAAGAACTATTGAAATGTGATTAAACTTTGTGTTGGGAAAACTAGGGAGTGGTGGAAGCTTTTCTGGGGATGATTCAACTTTGGATCAGGTAGCCAGAGGAGTTTCATCCTGGAAGGAGTTGTACATAGTAGAGCACTGTTTCATTAAATGTGGACATAGATGTCTAAGTGAGCGTGTGTTAAGTTAGGTTCTATATAGCATTTCAAGCAGGTCTATATTATATTTAATAAGTTTATTGTTGGAGTTGTACATAGTAGAGCACTGTTTCATTAAATGTGGACATAGATGTCTAAGTGAGCGTGTATTAAGTTAGGTTCTATATAGCATTTCAAGCAGGTCTATATTATATTTAATAAGTTTATTGTTGGTATTATTTTTAAACTCTTTAAACATTTAATTCTTCAGCATTAATACACACAAATGCTATTGGGGGTGGGATGGGGAAGGGTGAGTTACTGCTTCCTTTGGGATCAGAGTTACAGCAGTGTTACTTGTATATTATATCGATTTTATTTACTGATCTAGGCAGCCAGAGGATGGAAGGATATACAATGTGGAGTAAACATATTCATACCAGGGTGAGGAATGCTGGGAAGACATTATTATTAACAGAAAGTTTTTGTTTTGTTTTGTTTTGTTTTGGGGGGGGTTGTAGGAGAATTCATCTGGATACAAAGACTT